CGCTACTATATTCCAGACATTGTTGACTGTGGGTTTTGTTCTGGCTTGTGAGAACATGCAGACTGTGTAAATAAACCTCTGTAGAATTGAGGGAATTGATTTTTTGGGGGGAGAAGATGTATTAAAGTTTCATAGCCAGTTTATGAAAGTAATCCAAAGGGAAAATTTGCAGTTGTATCCAGCATCTTGACAGTTTAGTGCCAGTTATTGTTGCATAGTTTTTTTTCTTCTGGATGCCTAGCGTTTTATACATTTGTTTCTGTTAATTATTATAAAAGGGTAAAGACTGTCACATCCATATACAGTATATTATTTTAAACTGTTGTCTAAGCGTTGGAGTACTTAAATAATTTATATAATGTACAAGCTCAGAGCAGTATCAGGCAAACAAGATTGATCAAAGACACATATTAGGATTGTTTTTTTTAAGAACTTTGCAGTTTTTGTGTAAGCTGAAAGAAAGTAAACACTCTCACGCACTATACCATATAAAAATAGTATTATTTTCCTGTGTTGTTTATAAAGTGTAAACATGAATGGTAGTTAAAGCTGAAAACAAATGAAAGTTTTTTTCAGTTGAATCTGTGATATTTACAGCAGATGGATGTAAATTCCACACTGGAAAGCAGAAAGAAGAAAAACAACTTTCTCGGGTGGTGAGATAATGAGGCTGAGGGCAGGAGTATGAGACAGAGGGTGGGGTAAAGTGGACTAGTGAAAGAGAATGCTTACAGGAGTTGGGGAAAGGAGATCCAAAGAGACTGAAATCTGGGAAACAGACAGAGGAAGTGTGAAAGGCTGTATGTGAATAAAGAGATTTGGAAAGAAAGTATTCCATCACCAAGAGTTGGGGGAGGTGTAAACCTTGTTTAAAGGATTTGGCTTTCTCAAGCAAGAGTCCTTGAGTCCCTGTGATTGAGGCTAATGTAGCTCTTTACTTAAACCATTATCGGGAAACATAGAATTCCCAAAACATTCATTGTAATTGCTGGCACTGTGGACAGTTAGGTCTGTGACTAATAATCCTACGTTTTTAACAGAGATGCATTATCGCCCTGTTTTAATGCCTCCTGTCTTAATGTTTACAGTAATTGGTAAAACACTTTGGACATTTTATCAGTTTAGATAGCTTGTAAGTGTATTTATGTTATTTATTTTTATTTATATAATCAGTCCTGCCTAACAGTTGTGTTTTTTTTTTCAGCTTGACTATACAAAAATCAATTTTGTATAACCAGCGGCCTGTGAAATGTCCCCTTTATGTGAAGTTTTGTTCCTTAAACATTAAGCTCCTTTGCATTTCTTCTGAACTTTGTCCTGATAAAGCTTTTCCCAGCAGACCCTGCTATTTTAAGGACCTTTTTAGAACAGCCAGGCATGCAGATTTATCTTAGAATGACCTGTTTGGCTATTTTAGTTTTTTCAAGGATAAAATATTTCACAAAGCATACACTACTACCCAGAAAATTTGAAAATGCACCATGTTGCATGGACAAAATATTTTAGGTAGTAAAATTAAGGAATATGAATGTCTGTTTTCCCTATACATTTCAGATTCATTTCAGGGTTTAAATGAAAGAGAAAATAAGGTAGCACAGCCACACCAGACTTCACTAAGTCAAGAGCCAGGGTGCTAGGTGAATACCTAAGAGGTTATTTGCTGTATTTGCAATACAGGACAGGTTCATATTGGCTCACATTCAGGTTAGTGAACCCAGATTGAGAGTCTGACAAGCTTTTAGATCAGTGTTTGTGAAAGACAAGGGATCAATAGTACACAGTACTGTGCCCAGGCTTTCACAAAGTTCACAGGATGCATGCTTTTCCTTTCCAATGATGTCTACTTCCCTTAGCTCTGATTGCTCTTTAGAGAAAAGGGCTAAGGGAGAGTAATTTGCTGCTACATTAGTGAAGCACAATTTAATTTTGCATTCAGGAAATTAAATACAATTTGAGATGTAGGTCCGTCCCTGTTTGTGTTTTGTGGTTATGAATTAATGTGTTTTTATGTGTATTAAGTAAAAATGAAGTGCAAGTCAGAGTCCAGACCTCAGCCCAATTGAGATGCTGTGGCATGACCTGAAGAGAGCTGTTCATGCAAGGAATCCCAGAAATATTCATGAACTGAAACAGTTTTGTAAGGAGGAATGGTCTAAAATTCCCCCCTAAGTACTGTGCAAGTCTCATCAGCAGCTACAGGAAACATTTGGTGGAGGTTAGTGCTGCTAAAGGAGGTTCTACCAGTTACTAAATACAAGGTTTCAAATACTTTTTCCTAGCCTGGACTGTGAATGTTTAAATGATGTGTTCAATATTGAGAAGAAGAAGTACAATTGTTTGTGTGTTATTAGCAGATTGTGTTTGTATATTATTGGGAAGATCAGACCATGTTTTTATGATTAATTTTTTGCAGAAATCCAGGCAATTCCAAAGGGTTCACAAACGTTTTTTTGCAACTGTATATTATATTGTGCTTGGCATTCAAATTAATATTATGATCACTCACAAATGTTTTGATTGTAAAACAAAAATAAGTTTTGACTCTGCTGTCCCAATACCTATGGAGGGCACTGTATGTAGTGCACAGAAATATTTATTGGACCAGTTCACCTGTGACAAGGGCTGTCTGGATCATCAAGATGGAGATGGAGAGGCATTTTCTGCTAGTAGCTCACTTTCTGTCATGGAAATGACACCTCTTTCAGTACATTCCCATTTCTACCACCAAATATGACTCATAAGTAGTAGCTATTTGCTTTCATCTAGGAGACAATAAACTGTAAGTGCTGGAGGTGTCCCATATAACAATGTCTGTAGGAAGTGAATATGTAATCAATATTTGTTCCAAATGCATGGGTCCTTGACTTTTGTTGCATTAAATAGGACTGACTCTTCTCATTATCTGATGGCAGATCGGTTTTCTATAAAGTATGCAATATTTTGTATCCCAGTGGAGCAGTCTTAACTTTGAATCGTCTTGCAGATAATGGTGAGGGTTGAAGAATTGGAGCTTAATAAACAGACACGCAGGGGCTAGGAAAGAGGGAAAGATTGCAGTGATCAATCTGGTGGTGTATTTAACATTTGTGGTTTAACTTATGACTGCATGTAAGAATAAAGTCAGGATAAGTGACTGTTCTAATTGTATTTTAGCAGCAGCCAGCAGATATAACACTGTTGAGAATCATAATGCTTTCAGATTTTTTTGTGGCCATTGAGGTTGATGGACATCCTCCATTGTGATACTAAGCTTGGCAGCAAATGGGAAATGTAACCAAAAATGAAGCTAAAATCATCCAGTTTCCATACTGTTTTTCAGATATTGTTTGGATACTGATTTATGTAGAAAAACTGGGAGAACGAGCAAGGATTTTCTGTGGACTGTACTGTCCTACTGATAATAAAGTGGTGTCATAAGTAAATCGCTGCACTTTCATGTTTCTCTCCTGCAAATACAAAGGAAAGTTATTTTGAATGAGTGGAAATAGCTTTTACCACTTTCACGATAAAAAGAACTGAAAGTCCAGCTGCGATCGTTATTAGCCCCATGGCTTTTGGCTTGCATGCAAAATCCATTTAGAAGAAAATCTTTTGTATTCAAAAAGTCAAACATAAAAAAAAAAATCTCTTAGAAAAGGCAGTGGTTACAGAAGTAAATGGCAGTTCAAACAGGAAATGTGTATTTAAAGAGTTGAGTGATTGCAAGGCTTTTTTTGGGAGGTGGGGATAGGGTAATTTTAACAGGGGCTTTTAGTGGGGATCTGGCAATTGTAATTCCCTCTTCTCATCTTTGGGACTAAATTGCAGTCCTAGAGAAAGTCATGCTGTAATGACGTGTTGACTCTGTGGCTTAAAGTGCTGAACCTGCTCCCCTTTCCCAGTGGTAGAGAGGAGATCACAGGGCTAGTCTAATGCCATCTCTCTCTGCCCCATGTTAGGCATGGTCCAGCGTCCATGAGTTCCATCCCTTCTGGTTTGCATTTTGGAGTTCCTGACTGAAATTAGTCATTCCTTAGGTATTCTACAAATCCAACATACCAATTAATTTTATCAGCGGTCATGGAGAAAGAAAATGTATTCTATTTAAAGCAACATGCTTTCAATCTATTTCAAAATGTTATTGTGCATATACTGTAAAAGCCCGGAGTGCCAGAATATAGGCAGCACACAGCAAATAAGAACATGCTGTTCTGATGGGGGAAATTCTGAACTCAAATACTGTAATGTAGTGTATAGTCTCTCTCATTTTTACCAGGTACAGTGTTTAAAGTCAGAAAACAGAGCGTTGTATTCCCACAACATAGATGCGCTTGGTTACAGCAAAGTATTGTGGATTGGAAATGAGTAGGGTCAGGTTAGTGCAACAGAGAATCCAATAAACAGTTTGCTGAAGGACCAGTTTCTGCAGTTGAAAAGCCTTAGGGGGAAAAGATTTAGTTGACTGTGCACAGTTATGAACTGCCTTTACTTCAGACATGGAAATAGCGATTGGGTTTATGTTAATAAAGTGGGTTTCACAGGACAAACCAAAGACAAGAATATAGTTTTTAATGACTGTGGCTACAAAAGTGTAACATTTTCCTTTAGTTAATTTCATTAGGAAAGGAGTTTGTGGTAACCTTGAATCCCATATAGTATGTGCTAGAATGAATTATGTCCAAATGCCCAGTCTTTTAAGTGACTACTATTTGAGTCCATTATTAATAACATGTCAGTAGTGCTTGATCACTTTTTGATGCATTTCAGGAGTTTGTATACTTGTATACTTCATTTACAGTAATTATTAACAGGATATGTTACCATACATTCACTTGAATTGCACTGAAAGATCTCGCTTTTATGAAATATGTTGATAGGAACTATGTGATAAAGAAACAGTGGAGTGGGGCAGATTTCTTAATCCTTAATTGAAGTTATAAAGTGCATTTCTGCTTTTCTAGATATCTTTGGTCCTGGCATATTCTCTTCAGTCCCTAATTGCATTATTTCTGCACTGACAGGAAGAGAGGCCTGGAGGTTTTATCACTGTGGTCAACGGGGCTGGCAGCCTCATCACCGACATCTGATTGCTGCGCCAAGCAGGGAAGAGCCCCTTCTGTTGAGTGCAGAGAAGGAGCAAGCCATGAGACAGCTCAAAGGAAAGCCTAAGAAAGAGACCTCCAAGGACAAGAAAGAGAGGAAACAAGCCATGCAGGAAGCACGGCAGCAGATCGCCACGGTGGTGCTGCCCACGCTGGCTGTGGTGGTGCTCCTCATCGTGGTCTTCGTCTATGTGGCGACCCGCCCTGGCGCCGTTGAATAACCTAGGGGCACTACTCCTCTAACACAGACTCATTGCTACCAGCAGAAGGATCTTTTTGCCTCCTCCCATTACAGATCTCTTTGCTTTGTATCGGAATGTTTGAGAAATTCTGCAAATCCCTTACCACCGTCCTTTCATTTGAGTATGCTTCCTCTTTTGCTTCTAAGGACAAAAAGCAGAATTGACCACAGCACAGTACTACGTCATCTTTTTTCATACGTGCCTTCAATGAATGACATTGTCTTGTGTATGTTGGGGGGCGGCTGTTGTATTCTGTGTAAACCGTTTGTATTGTATCAAGTATTATGTGTTCATTGAGCAATTTCTAATGAAAACTCATTTATCTTGCCTCAATTATGCACTGTCACTGAAAGGTGTCAGTTCCATGCTTACCAAAGGATTCCTTTCTCCTGATTGTGGCTTGCCACTGGATGTCAGTGTGTGACCTGAAGTTTGTTTTTTATGATTGACATTGTCCTTGAGGAGACACTACACTGTCAATTTGTATTATGTGTATGATAGGATAATACACATTTTGTACCATTAAGTTATTACAACTGACTGACAATGGCATCTTTGTGTCATACGATATGACATATGTGCAGATTGGAAAAAAATGTGCCTTACACATCAGAACATGTAATTTCAGTAAATAAAACTGCAAAGCTTAATGCTACTGTTCTTCTCTGTCTAAGAGTTTCTGAAAACAACTTTGTGGTGTTTCACAATTAGTGTTTAGTTACATGAAAGGGAATAAAGGAGTACATGTGTTCAGAACTTTTTTTCAGATTTGCTAAACAATTCAATAGAAGGGGTTTAAATTGAAAGTGATTTGGGTATGACCAGATTAGGGTGTACCAGCCATATTAATGCAGAAAAGTCTGTCATGCAGAAGGTGTAAGATTAAGTGTCAAAGAAAAACTGTTCCAGTGTTTATGTACCATATTCTGCTTTTTAAATCAAGTTGTAGATAAGGGAATAATCCAGCATGTATTAGTAGTCCTGGGTGAGTTTTTACTGTACACCCTCTCATCAAAGTGCCTTTAAGACAGCCTGATTCAGACTGGTAGTCCAAATAAAGCACTTATTTGAGCCAGGTGTCATCTAAGAAGGCTTTCAATACATGAATGAATCTTCCCAGTTTTGCAGTCAAAGGCCAAACCATGAAAGGTTGAATATCCTGTATTCCCACTAGAGAAGAGAGATGAGGGGAGATTCTACCACATCCAGACTGTCAGATCCGTTTAGCTACGCTGTACTTTTGCAGCGTCTTCCATGTGTCATGGTGAAGCTGATCGATGTATGAATCAAACAGCAGCTCCACTGCTTTTGACCTTCTCTCCTCTTCCTCCAGGAACAGCTCGGCTTCGAATGACTCCTGCGAATAAGGAAAGAGGTGTTCTCTAAAATAAGGCCATTAGAAAGATCGCAAAGAAGAGGAAACCATTCTACCTGTCTTGCTCATTTGGTAGTTCAGTAGCTGAGGGAATCTAAAATGTTGTCCGGACATTTCTTGAAGATGCCCAGAGTTTCTGTCTCAACCACATAGTTAGGAAATCTGTTCCGCATGTTCGGATCTCGTTATGTAAAGTTGTTCCATGTTCTCCATCTTAAATGAATTCCCTTTAAGTTTCCCTTTTGCCCCTGTGTCCTTGTTTTACAGAGTCTGAAATAGTCCACTGAATTGACCCCATCTTTATGCCTTATGATTTGATATATTTTGATCTAATTTCCATTGGTGTAGACTAAAAAGATTCAGCTCATTTGTTTGACAAATATCTCATTTGTGGTATAGTGACCAAAATTGAGCACCATATTCTGAAGTTACACTACATGTTGTAATGCTTGAATATAACTTACATTATTTACAGTTCACACTTTCTGTTGTATACATATTCATATTTTACATTACATTTGTTTTATTTCCTACATGTACCCTTGACATAAATCTACATCACCCCCCAGATCCTTTTCAGGCATAGCGTTCTGCAGCTCAGAATCAGTCATACTGTATGTATAGTGTATGTTCACATTGCATTTATCAGTGTTAAAATGTTATTTGCCAAATTGCTGTCCAGCCAATAATGTGTCCTGTTTTTGTTAGTATTGGTTACTGTTATCCCTATTTGTGTAGTATCTAAAGGGTTTGGATTTGCTTACTCCACAAGAATCTAATCGGGAAGAGTGGTGGGCCTAAAAGTAGTATTACTACAAGTCCCTGTTGCTTGTTTACTCACTCTTTTTTTAAAAATCCATGTTGACTCTTTTAAAATGACACTGTTCCTAAGTATTCTTCTAATGTAGCTCAATAATTTACCAGTAGTTTTTTCATATTCTTAGGAGTTGGTATTACAGTGCCAGTTGTGCAGTCTGTGGGCTTAGGGATTTATGAACAATATCCCTCATTTCCTTATGTAGCAGTACAACCGAGCCCCAGTGATTTACCAACTGTAAGATGCGCTAGCCTCTGTTAATTGTGCTAAAATTACCCATTACTGATGGAGCTACTTCTATAACATGGGACAAGTGTTCTTTTTTAAAATTCTGCATGTTTACCATTTTCTAGTTTCTGTTAGTAATCCTGCATTATTAAGCTGTTACATGTTTTGTTCTGTTGTAATCATGTATTGCTCAGTATTGCTCTGTTGCAGTAGTATTTTTTCTGTTTTGGTTATACTAATGTCGTTCTTCTGTTGTGACTGTAGTACATTATACTCTTTTTGCTTTTGAATCTAAGGTGCTGTTTGTAGTCTTACAGTACAGTATGTTGCTGAATTTGTTTTGAGCCTTTAACATTATTTTTTAAAAAGAATCACCTTTCTTTCATGGACTCTGGATACATCTGTTCCCACTTCACCATTTGTAGTGACATTCCTCATTCCTTTATAGTCTGCTTTTCTAAAACGATACATCCTAATTATATACCTAGGCTTTAGGTGTCTCAAGTATACATCAAGTTAGCATTTTACATTCAATTTGCTAGTGGTTCTAGCACATCTAGTCTTTTAGTTCCATCCTGGTATTTTGAGAAGACTATGTCAATTATAGCATATAATATTATAAACAGGGACAAGAAGCAATTTACTATTTCACCCATATTGATGTTCATCTTCTGTATTCTCCACTGCACCATACAGTATATGCGAGGGTTGAAATACCTTCATGATCTCATTACACGCTAAGCTGCATCCATGCCTGCCTTCATTAGGTGGTCTTTAGCTAAGCCTGATAATTTTGATTTTCCATATGGATTCTATATGCACCCTATAGCCTCAGTTTTTTAGTTTGCAAGTTATTTTTTGTATCTAGTCCCACTCCACCACCACTAATCTGCCTATCTTTCTAAAAAATGTACCCAGTCATTTAAATATCATTCTTGTCATCCTCCCCTAGTCATGTACAAGTCTTGCTACAATAGTTATTTAATTCATAGAGGGTGAATCTGATACCACATATATTCCTTTTTTCCCTTAGGCTTCTAGAATTCAGAAATTCCTCCTCTCCATTAACGCTGTGCTAACTATGTCCTCCAGCTCTGCCACACATATGTTTCAGTGGAGATCAGCATCAGCAAAATCTCCAAAAATGCAGTAAGCAGGTTTCTGAAAGTAGCCATTTATTTTTGCACACAAGGACCTGAACTGTTTGTTTTTTTTTGCCCTTAAAGCACCAGTCAGCTGTTTGCCTTTCTGCTATGTCAAAATTTGTCTTGCCGCACAAGTTAATCCAGTTTGGTGCTCTAACTTTAGCTGCAGAGGGCAGAAGATAAGTTTTCTGGCAGCCTTGCTTGACTGGAGCCTAAGAAAAAGGGGTAGGAGGCTTTCAGGTCAGTACTGAGGAGTAACTGGAGCTGTAAGATAGAAATAGATTGCAGGTAACCGTGACCTCCGTTGCCATCAATGCATTTGGCTTTTGATAAATGAAAGCTCTGATCGCTCATCATAAATGCTAGAGACTTTTGGCAGTAACCTGAGTGAATACATAGTATGCTTTTTTGTGTGACCTGAATACATTTATTTTATGCAGAGATGTGAAATTTCTGAAAGGAATAAATGAGTCTTGTCAATCTTCGGTTTTAATAATGCACTTCTTCAGCATTTGACTTTATTTCCTATCACCATTTAGATGTAAATTGGTTATATTTTCCAGTCTTTCTAAACCTCATTTTAATAGTAAAAGATGAACACTGTAACACTGAATAACTGTGTTTAAAAGGGTACTCAGTACAGCTGTGAACCTTTGTAGCTGTACTTCATTATCTGAACTCCTACGGCACTCGAGCACTGTTCATATTCCACCTTGACAGGCACAACACGTCTTGTACTGTTTTTGAGCAAATTGAACTATAAATGGAATTAAGGCATATCTGTATTAAGATGCATACTAGGCACAAGACTTAAATATTACTGATACTGTTTTGAGGCTACAATTATGCATATCTTGCTCAGAGTCTGCCCTATGGGTGTTTTGGATCTTTGCTTTTTAGTATCTGGAATGTTTAAAACATACTGTAATACTGTAAAAACCTTTCTCTGGTAACTCAAAGGGGAACTGCAGTCCCAATTTCTCAGCCTGGTTATTAAATCTTTGTAACAGAATACATTCATTGATGTAATTGAGCCCAAAATTGTGAACTTTGTGAAAGAACTGTACAGTGGCCTTGTTTTCACAAACCTTTGGTCCTGCTACAGTATGTGAGAGAGCGAGAGTTCCCACTAATTGCAATGAGATGTAGCCCTTCCTGCTCACTAGTCACAGTAATAACTAATGTAATGTGACGTGCAAGTGAATAAGTACAGGTTGTGCAGAAGGCATTTCACTGCAGAAATGTTCCAACGCGATCTGCATGTAGAGTAACAAGTAATATTTCTATTGGATTAAGAGATGTACAGTATTCAAAAGCCTGCTTGTTTACAGTATTACCTCATGTCACTGGAACTTTTGTTGCCTTGTTCTGAATTGCACACTGTGCATACCTGGAAATGTAATCTATTTTGTTGTGTAAATTGGAGGTTTTATACTGTAAGTTACTGTGTACACGTTACTTTTATTGTGGTCCAAAATGCAGTCATCAATGCTGATTCTTTCTAGCCCTGAAATATAAAAATGGCATTGTAGTTCTATTTTAAAATGCTCGTTCTTACAGCAGCATTTTCTTAGTTGAGTTTCAATAAATACAGATATATTTCTATAAAACTGCAGCATAGACACCCGTTTTAGACTGATTATGCTTTAACTCAATTACGTATAAAATCATTTGGACATTTAACTGAATTCAGTGAACTAAGCGAATCTGTTTATTTAAGTATTGCTTTTTCCATGAATCTGATTTTCTAGATGTCAGTGGAATAATTATTATATAATCTGATGCTCATAAATGCTCAGCATAGACAGTTGATCAACATAAGAGCAGTAATAGCAGAAAATAATGCAAATATCTTTTTTTCTTTTTTTACAAACAGATGAAAATCTATTTTATGATGTATTGTCCTTGGGTGTCTGCAGAAACTTCCACAGACGGACATGCAGAACAAATAAAAAAATCTCATTTTCAGTGCTGAACTGTCTAAAGCAATCATTTTATAGCTATTACAGCAATGTCTTCTGTTTAGGTTATACGGAAATTGTCTATGGATTCACACAGTCCTTTTTTTTATTTGAACTTGACTGTCCTTTTGCATCTGTGATCCCCAGAGGAACCTTATTGGACTTTGTGCCGAGACTGAAAAGTACAAATTGGGATTACTGAAAAATACAGAAGTTGTTTCAAACACCTTAGGGAAGGAAGTGAGAGGAGTCTGTGTTTTCAATTCTGTGTTTATCCAGGCTCTGTAGTGAGGAATGCAAACACAGGGATGCCAGGGTTTTAAAACTGTTGCAGGGATGCCTCCCAATCCCACTTAAAAAGATTAGAAGACAAGGAGACCACTATTTACACTGGCTTTTACAAAATATGCTCGTAAGTTAAACTGTACTTTTTTTAACTTACAAGTTGTGAAGCCACTTGGTCATTAAAAATGACTGCTCACATTTGAAAAGGGGACAAACGCCATTTCAGGGAAAGACAAATCCAAACCCACCTGCAGCACAATATCCTCTTTGCTGTCTAGCAGGTCTGACACATTCTTCGACATGCCTGCATGGGGAAGCTCCTCTTCAATGAGGCTGTTGTCATGGAGACAGGGTAGACTTGCAGATGTGGGCAGCCTGTTTACTAATTTGCTGGCCCTCTCCTCTGCCATGTCCCTGGTGGGTCTGTCCTCCTGCTCAGGGGACTGCAAGTTCCTACAATCGGCGAACAGGAACATGTCAAGGCTCCATGCCAAGAACTATTCTTCTATCTTTTCTTCTTTAAATTCAGCTTCAAAGGTGCAACAGTTTTGATATGTTTCACTGCTGTTCCAGGTGTTTAAGGCATGGGACTATACAACAAGTTCAACGATGCAAACATGCTCCAAGCAATTGTGATAGCAAAGAGATGGTGACAAATTGAGGTTAATTTTTCTTCTTTCTCTGTAGTGTTTTGAGATTGTCTTGTCTAATCAAAGATCCCCCTGTCACTTACAGGGGGATTTTTAGAAAACAATATGTTAATTTGAGAATATTTGTTCATTACTGTGTTCCAAAGTCTGAACTGACTTATTTGCAGCTCTGTGTCGCTCTAATGTTGATGAATGGCTTAACCTTTAGGAGTGCAATATACCTTAAGAAGGAGCTAAGTAACAAACTTAGTGACATACACATCGATGGAGTTTAAGGTGAAGAAGACAGGTTGTACATTTGAAGTTATGGACGCTCATCATAATCTATAATAATAGATTGCATTGTACAGCACTTTACATTAAGGGCCCACTTCATCTACCACTAAAGTTCAGCACCCACCTCGGTGTTGTGTGGCAGCTCTTATGTGCCACAGCCCAACTGCATATTAGATCATGTGGGGAAGTGATCATTTGCTTCACCAGACAATTTAAGGTGGATCTTTATGTAGGCTGGATTGTGCAAGTCCAGATTTAACAGTGGCAGCCCACTGAAGTTAAGCAGGTGTGAGCCTGGTCAGTACCTGGATGAGAGACTTCCTGGGAAAAATTAAGGTTGCTGCTTGAAGAGGTATTAGAGGGGCCAGCAGGGGGCACTCACCCTGTGGTCTGTGTAGTTCCTAATGCCCCAGTATAGTGATGGGGACACCATACTAGGTGGGTAGGTAAGGTCCCCTTTCCAGGCCATAAAGGCCCATTGGGGAATGGGGGGACGAGGGGCACCATTTTTCTTGGCCATCCGTCACTGGAAGAGGAGGTGATGTGGTCAGCATCACACTCCGGCTGGCCTATTACCCCAGAAGGATTAACCCCCGGTACTCATTTACATCACTTGCCCCTACCTGGGATTGAATCCGGGACCTTCCAGTCAGGTGCAAGACGCCCTTGCTGTCTGAGCTACCACAGTTCGGCTATCTAAGTCTAATGAGTTGTTTTGCTGCAAGATATTATTATTATTAATATTTGTATCATCATCATCATCTACTGGAACAGCAGCAACCTGCTTCCCTCCCAGAACAGACTGGGTCTGGCTTTAACACAATTATATTTGTACTTTGAAACTGTGACTGAAACCCATAACCTTTCTCTTCAATTTTAAATAATAGAAATCACTGAATTGACTTGTGAAGGATTCATGTCACTTAGGTAGCTTAGGTTAAAACTTTTATTGTGACTTGTTTAATTGCATTATTGAAAAAATATATATTGATGCCACATGACCTTGGTATCTAGGGTTATCTGCTATTCATAAAACCCAACTGCATTGCTATTTTTAGGACTTGCAGATGTAATTGTATTTATTACTGTTCAATGACAGTGCTTAGTATGGATGAACAAGAACAAGTTCTTGAGCAGAAAACACCTATTTTTGAAGCTTGTGAGTCCACCATGTTATCAAACTGGACAGCATTAAAGCATACCTATGAGAGGCAGTAATCTGGCAGTAGTTATCTTCCAGTAAAGTCTAGTAGTAAACAAAAAAAACGACAATGCACCAAATATCTGATATAAACCCACAGGAACCAAATAGCAAATACAAATTTCACTGAATTTGGAACAGAAAGTACAAGAAAAGCGATCAGAGACAGGACACTATGGGTGCTTTAATCAAAGTCTGCTTTGCTACCTTTTGTGTATGATGTATGATAATAAGGAAAATATTCTAAATGATAACACCAGCATTCAACTGGCTGCCGACATCTTTCACTGTGCACGCCTCACACATGGGATACTAATGAGCTGACTAAGGAAAGGCAAACACCATCTGGAGCTGCTGTGACGGCGAGCCACTCCAGAGTCTGTTCCTTCCAGCCCTCTCCCCATTGAAGTGCGGAATGTGTAAACACATAAATGAATGCTGCAAAAGGTGTCTAGGCAGCAGACGTATGACAGACTGGCAATATAAACAGTGTTGCGGAAACAACCTTGCTGCCTCATTAGTGTTTCTTTTGCACAGTTTCTAAAACACACTTGTGTTTGTTTTGCTGGTTAATTTCAGTTTATCCAGGCCTTGCTTTAAGATTTGAAAGTAAAAGCTCTTCTGCTGCTGGTTCATTTTCTTCTTAACTATCTACAATATATATAGTAGTATATACAGTGTATGTATAGAGAGGCAACATTCCAACTGTGCATATGAGGGTGGTTGTGTCAAGCCTGAAAGATATGGTTTTCAGTAAATTATTAGATGTGGCGATTCTAAGTATGGACATGCTGTCACTCTCCAAGACAAAGGTCCTACTCACATTGAGCAGTCACAAACTTTTTCATGCTGTGTATATGAGCTGTTGTCATGTTTAACCGGATTGACAGTGCTAGATATCTTTCTAGGATTTAGAGAATAATGAAGTTCTGAAGACTACTGACTCCCTGCAAACGTGAACAGCTTGAACTTGACCTTTGGAGTAGCACACTATTCAGCGAAATATGACCAACTTACTGCAAACCAACACAGTATGTGCCGAGCAATAAAAGTAACAACAGTATACAATCAAATATACTGTATCTAACAAACACAATGAGAATTAAAAGAAACAGACCAGCAAAGTCAGAGACTTGAAAACTGAGATGTAAACGCTCCCAGTTTGGTGCATCATGACCTATATTCTTGCCATTAAAAATCTAGGTTCTTTCACTTAAAGTCTTACCTTTGGGTAGTTTCCCAGGAATAGGAATTTCTCTCTGTCTGGTGAAGCTCCTCTTCCTCATGGTTTAAGATGCCCTTGTAGTCTCCAATGATCACAGTACTTGTAGCATCACCGACAATCTCTTCCAATGTGCTCTGTCACCAGTAGAAAGAATTTATGAATTCCAAAGCCTTTATCAAAAACAAGCAAGATAGCATTACACAATGTCATATGTTTTTAGCTTCTAATTGGTGCAGCATTAGAACATTTATAAATAAGATATTTCAGGACAAATTATAAGTATTTTATTACACAATTTATTGTGCATTCCAATCAGGATACAATAAAATATAATGCAGTTTCTGCAGCTTGTGCTCTTTACCATTCTTACGTTTACATTTCCCTTTCTAAGCTGCCATTAGTCATTACTGTAAGTAAATAAGGAGAAAGCAGCTTGTCTCCTTCAAAAAGGCTACCTCATTTTTTATCACTAATAAAGCTGGGGGATGAATTGATCTTCCATCATCATGTACCATTAAAAGTCGATTTTTTCTTTTCTCTGTGGGAAGGCTCAGTTTATGTCTGCAAAAAACAGCTCTGCTGAGAGTTACTTTATGCTTGCTTATCTTAAAATCAACTATAGTCCCAAACAGAATGTCACAATCTAGCAGTTCCCTAGAGACACATCTTCTCACACTCATGAAAGCAAGGACGCAAGGTACTGTGCCTGACCAGAGGTAGCTAACACAACCGGAATTCTGAACAGTCATTTCACCCTTGAAAGAGAGGACTCTCAGTGTTTAAGGCAATCAAGACAGGTGGAATTGATTTAAATACAGAGCCCCAGACTGGTGTTAAAGTATTTAGGTTTCAACTCTGATTTTTCTATTCTTTCACTACAATATTTTAATAAAAATAACAAAAGCAAGAGGTTAAAATGTGTAAAAGGGTTTTTGGAAAAGATGATTCTCCCTAATTGCCATCATTAATCACCTTTATGTCAACACCTTTCAGATCAGCCACATACAAACCAAAAAGAGAACTATCATTATACTGCACGCGTGTGTCTTCTGTCTTCATTAAGACATTTTTTACCACATATCTCACAATACTATAATTGTATGGCCAAAACTATCCTCAGTAGAATTACATTCCAAATTAATGAAAGAATGAAGTTCAAAACAAGCACTAAACTATTGATTTCTTAACAGAGGCATACATGGCTCATTCATGGGAGGGTGCAATAAAATATCAAGTTTTAATATGCTAGCAGACGTACAACTAAAACCAAGTTGGCAGACATTGTTTGCAGTGCTATTTACTGAGATTTTATTATGATCAATGCCTGACATCTATCCTGTGAGATTAAAGCCAAGCACCACTGGTCAGATACAAATGCTTATTTTGTTTTTGTATTCCTTTTCCACTAAAAGCCAAGTAGAAAAGTGGATAGGTGGTATCAACTTCCGCTAAAACCAATTCTCTCTTTTAAAATTAAAAATTACAAAATATACTTTTAAATACTGCTTACATGTATATACACACATGGAAGTGCACAAAAATGTTCTAGCCATGCCCTTTAATAGATTTATTCTCAGAGTAAGTAAATTAAAGGCTAAAAAGCAGTGACCTCACTGGCTCAATAAATACATTACAAAAGATATAAGGTGAAAGACGGCACACAAAGAACAGCATCCAGTTAAAGAAATGCTCAAGGGAAGCTCTATCTCACACAAGGTTATGGAAAAAGTAATTAGAATTAACATAGAAGAGCATCTGAATGGCAACTGAATTCTGGGGGATAGTCAACATAGATTTAGAAAAGGCAGTATAGAAAATCTGTATGAAGACCACTAATCTTACTAATTAATATGAATAATACAGATGATTTTCACATCTATATTACTTAGTTCACAAATTATAGCAAAATAGTAGGATTAGCAATCACTATAAAAGCTGCAAGGAGATCCAAAAACGTTAGACACCTTGACATTTTGGAGCTTAGTTTAGACTTAAATGTACGGTATTCCCCCTAGCTTTCAACTTAGCAAAACCAAATTATGCATATAATTTAATAAACATATTAACATGTTTTAACATTATTCAATACTCCAGAAAGACCCCATTTAAAATATTTTGCACAGTTTTGGTCACTAAGGTCACTAAGGTCACTACAAGAAAGCTATTGTTCACAGTTCACTGAAGAGTGACCAGATACAGTACATTCCTGGCCCTTAAGCAATATCCTGACATAACTCTGACAGGCAAAAACAACTTAACCACTTTAATCTTGAATACAACAGACTATAAGAGGATCTGATTCAAGTATTTAAGACTCAAGTGCATCAGCGAAGCTAACCCGCTGAACTTCAGAAAGAACAATGAAACACGAACCAAAAGACACAAGTGGTATTTACACAAGGTATTGTGGGGCTCTAGGACTAGCTACCTAGCTATGGTGTCAAAGCTGATACCTTGCCTTCTTAAGGAAATGGCAGGATGAAATCTTTGTATTTATTAGCTACACGCAACCCAAAGATTTGAATAGGCTGACAGCATACTGACTCATTTTGTAACCTTTCTTATGTTATTATCTAAATATATACTATATATATTTATCAGAACTCAGAAACAATACCTTCTTTGTGGCCACAGAGAGATCCCAGATTAAGCTAAAGTCTGAACATGCTACTAGAGTTAGGCAGGAAATGGCAGACACTGATGAATAACCTTTTCCACATCGATTCACCTGACAATGACTGCAACAAGGTTCCCCAGGATCTGCTTTGCAAAGTATAAAATAAATCACTGCTTATCATAGTTTTACTCTGTCCTTGGTAAAGGTTTATAATTATAAACAGGACATATAAAGAAACAAATGTATAAAGAACCAACAGGAAAATGGATTTGGAGAAGCACATTCCTGTTTAGCCTAGCTACTGTATGTTGCTGATGAAGAAATGAAGAAATGCTTGAAGCAACGCTGTGCTCCAGTCAATACCTGAATATTCAGCAATTACAAAGAAAATGGCTATGGAATGAAAAAGAGCTACAATACCACTGACGCAGATCTTGATTCCTTTTCTGTGATCAGTTCCTTTAAGTATTTATTTTCCAGACTAACCGCCTCAAGTTGAATCTTGGCCACCTACCAAAGCAGAGCAGGTAGGATACAAAATTAAATCCAGCAGAAAACAAGAGCGACTTCTCCCACAAATATGACCAAGCTGCTCAAAGCTCTTGCAAATTAACTGTCAGTGCGAATGTCAACATATATCAGGCAGACCTCACAGGATCTGAAGTGGCTTTAGCACCTAACATTGATTTGTCTTCTGTTATCCGCTAACCAATATTTTGCAGTGACTAGAAGACAATATTGTGTTTCAGGAAAACCTGCTGTTTCATTTAATCCTTTTTAATCGCATTGAGTCTGCTAAACACACACTGAATCACAGGGACCTCTAGTTTATTCCCCTGCTCGACATTGACTATTTAATTTCTTGCCAGTTTGCTCAAAGACTTTGCAAGTAAGGTACAAATAGGGATGTAATCACATGCATCAGCTGAAGCCAGTACATTTCAAAATTGACATATTGACAGCCTGTTTGCTCTATCTTTCTGACCTGGTGTTCAGCAGCTTTGCCTTTAATTTTTCTCAGCTCGTTCTGGAGGAGTGTGGCTCTCTGGATGGCTGATGCCCTGGCACTCTCTGTGTCCCGCAGCTGTGCAGTGAGGCGTGAAATTTCATCCCTCGAAGCCTCTGCCTGGGTGTTCTGCGACACCTCCAGCTTCTCCAGTATCCCTTTCAGCTGCACAGACAGTACTGTCACACCCTTATTCATTATTAGCCTAAAAACGTGTGTGAAAGTTGAACATGACCAGTTGCTAAAACACATTTCTTTTCATTATTGCAAGTGTAAAATGTGGTCATGCCCTTGAGGTAGCACTGTAACTGTACCTTGACGATTTCATTATCCTTGTTTTCACCAGCAGCCTTCAGCTGCCACTGCACATTTTCTCTCACCACGGACGAACTCCCTTTGAGCTGCATGCAATGAGAGCATGACGGCTCCGCCCTTCAAAAACACAGGAGGTTTTCCAAGAAAGTATGTTACAAATTTGAGCGGAGCGTGAAATGCCCTTAGATTGCACTTGGTTGCATTCATTTACAAATATTGTTCTTATGGATCCAAGTATGGTTAGTATACGTTACAATCGCAAAAACTGCAACAGCATGGTCAAATGCCTTTCCTTCTCTTGGGAACTCGTTTAATTAATGTCATTTTGGGGATTCTTTACTTCTGTACTTGGTTGTTTTGTTTTCAAAATGAATAAAACATTGTGGAAATAAACGTTCAGTGGAGTTCAGTTACTCCAAGTAGAGGATCTATAACACGGATTAGGTCAAGTATTGATTATAAGAAGGTCCTCGCCAAAAATAAAGGCAGGTTGTCTGTTCATTTTATTTTAAACTTTGTATCTATAAGCAGGTTGAGATGCTACAAGTAATATTTCTCTTCTTCAAAGTGTCACGAGAGCAGAGCATTTTATAAAACATAAATCAGTTATCCCTCACTGTACATATACTATATGATTCTGACACACAAATGAACAAAAGCAGTGTACTACCCAGCTTGCAGCCTTGTTATCTCAGTTCTTAGTATTTTTTCCTTCTGTTGACTGGCTTTAAGCTGCTGCTGTACACTGTCCAAGACTACTTTCAAGCTGAGCATCTCAGTTGCCATCAGATTCCTGCAGCTCTGCTCCTCCATCCTGCAACACATAAAGTAAACATTATTTTTTACACCTCCCTCCTCTATTGGTACAATTTTGATGTGCTCCCCTATCAGCAAAACCAAATGCTGATCACCTGATGGCGCTCTCCTGCATTGACAGTTGCTCCTGCAGTCTGGCCACTTCTCCTCTCCATTGTTTCTCCTGGAGCTCTGCTGTCTGCAGGAGGTCATCTCGGACCTTCAGCTCTGCCTTCAGCTCCTCCCCTGTTTTCTGAACCCACACAGGCAGAAAAACACCCAGGATTTAACTTTCCAGGTTTTGAGGAATAAAGTCACTCACACGGGAATGAAGTTATTTGTTTCTCATTGTGAGCAAATTCAGCTTCATTTTCCCTGCCCAGTCAGGAACCTCACACCTGAAGAAGGCTCCACGGCCAAAATGTTGTTTTCTTTCTACACTTTTCAGCATGGGATAAACCTATCACTTGTTCCTTTGCAGCCTACGCATGCTAACACGGCTACCCACTTGAACTATTTTAAAATGTATATGAATACAATCTTTTTTTGTTTTGGTACCTGTAATATAGGCATCAAAAGAGATGTATAATCAAAGTCATTTGCAAGTGTTTGAACAAAGCCTCTACATTCACAGGAATACCACCCAAAACCTTTTGATTTTTTTTCTCTTAACTCCCATCTCATCAAAGGGAGATTTGCAAAAAAAATATCGGAATCTTATAAAATAATTTAGTACAAACATAAGAAGACTTTGGGTACCACTTTAAACTGATGGAATACAAGAGCAGCATATTTAATATGTTTCATATACAGTATACCTCTGCATGCAGATTTATTCAGAAAGACAAGCAAGCCTGAAGGCAAACTAAGGATTGGTGCAGTTAAGAGCCTGTAAAATGTGAAAAGGAGAATGATTTGTTTCTTTGTGCTGTGATAGCACACCTCGATGAACGCTGCAGGTTTTGTGCCTTACCTGATGTTGTATGAGAGACTGCTGTAGGTGCTGTATCTCCCCCTGCTGCTCTCTCTCGGCAGAGTTCACCTCCTCCTCATGTCTCTGCTCAGCGCTGTCCCTGACATGAGCGGCCTCAGACTCTCTCCTCCGTTGTGTCCTCTCGCACGTTCGCTGCTTCTTCCATTCACTGCACAGCTGGCCCTCATAGCTGTGACACGTTCGCTGTTAAAGCAACAGAATATAGCAACATTAGGATCCGCTGGTGCTGAAATGAACAAAGTACAATACATTTGATTCAATAGGTGACTGTGACAACCACATAGATTGGTCACTGTCAAAATGAACAAAAGATTAAATGTGAATTCCATATGAGATACTGTAGATAAAGACAGTTCCAAATGCTTGAAGACTGACTTCCCCTCCTCTCCTATATAAACACACATAGTAGGTTATAGATTTCATACCTGCATTTTATTGGTTTAACTAAAAGTGCTCACTGCGTATGTAAATATAAGCATTCCAGGGATAAAGTTTAAGAATGCATTCTGTGCTTTATAGTTTTCAAAGAGGTGAATTGAATACTACAGGACATCTTCACAATGAATACATTAAGAGCTGCTACTTTAGAAGTAAATGGCCCTGCAAAGATCAATATTCAAGACCACCATGGCTTCTAGCAGGCTGCAATCTCTGTATCTCTCTCTATCTGCATGTTGACATCGGCCCAAATCTGTCCCTAGTGAACATTTCTGTGAACTATAAATCTTACTGGTGAGAATATGAACAGACAGCGTAAAACATTTTTTTTTAGAGTGGATAAAGAATTAAGTTATTAACCGACAAAGGTACTATAATTTCCAAATTGAAGTCTCTCAGCAATAATATGACTGGATTGGGAGGAATGATAAAACATTTATTACTGCTTTTACTAATTTATTTTATGCTTTTTTCCAAAGTGACTTAATTCTGCTACCATTTACTGTATACAGGTAGGTATTATTTTTGTGGGGTATCTTGTTCAAAACTACAACAACAGCAGCAGCTCATGAGTGATTTGATCCTAGAACTTTCCAGTTCTGAAACCATAAAACCCAGTTTTGAAACCCTAATCACTGTTCATAATAAAATTCTGCTGTATGGGTTTTCTAAACTCAAGCACTTTGGATTTTTGATTAGTAATCAGCAGTAATACCCTTGGAATTTTTTTAAACAAATGAAATTTCAATCACTATCTTCACCTCAAAAATATTTATAAGAGGATATTGTATTGTCATTACAATAACAAGGCAATAGAAAAACAAAGCTACGAACAAAGCTCTGTGAAAGCCATTCTATGAGCAAAGAATGAAGATGGAGGTCATGAGTACCTGAAAATATTCACATTTTTCTGCCAAGGATCTCCTTTGAGACTCTAAGATGGCTAACTCTTTCTGATGCAATGTGCTCTGCTTCTCCCACTCTTTTGATTTGGCTTGGAGGTCCTGAAAAACAAGTACATTCCTCTGAGCCTTGATTTTAAGCTTTCTGTAACAGAAAGTATCTTCGAATACTGAGGATAAAGGAATTGGAAGCAGTCATATGAATTAATAGACACGCTTTGTGTTAAGCTTGCCCGTTATGCCTTTATTCAAAGAAATGGAGAAAGAATGCTATTTTTCAAGTGAAAGTCAAGGAAAAATGACAATTTTACTATGAATTAATATTGGGAGTCATTCTTCATTTATGCTAAAGTAAGGAAAATAAACAGCAGATCAATATCATTTCCAATATACATGCAAATATAATAATATATACATAATGATATCTGATATAATAGATATAAAAAAACTTTGAGTTGAGACATGAATGATACATTGAGTTATTCAGAGATGCATTACTTATTATACCATGAAGGTTCCATGTCTATAAACTACTACGGCTTTGAAAGCCTCTATTTACTGCAAGTATGATTTTGAAGGATGAAAAAGAGTGTTAATCATGTCGCTGTTACTGTAGATTGCTTCTTGAGATGAATGTTAATGAAGGCCTTTGGGAAGCAATGCTGTCTGAGACAACCAAGTAAGACAAGTGATCTGTAAATAACAACCTTTTGTAACGAAAATGTAGGCATTCCTGAAGCATCTTTTAGAAAAAAAAACATTAAAAATCAATCAATGCCTTTTCCAAAGCTTCTGGGCTGTTTTTTCTCCTCACTCCGTTGGATAAAAATGATAAATATTCATTCAAAAACTTACATCTATTAATTTGTTAAACACATTTTCAGTTTTAGCTGCATATCAACATGATTGATGTTAGTTCGGCTTACTAAATTTAGAACAAATCTTCCAGCTTGTAAGCTTGTAAAATGATAAATGATAAATAACCCCCATCAATCAGAAACACTATAACTTCAAATTACTTCATCCTCATCCTTTCCACCTGCTCCTGTTTCAACTGATGGGGCTGGATGTGGTGTGTTGTGGTGCAATGCTTTCCTTCTCCAAGCTCCAATGGCCAGCCATGCTAGATATGAATATAGTTCATTTCAGGACATGGGGCTTGTAACATTGTACAAAGGCAAAATCAATGCTTTGATAAATAACTAATAATGTGACTTCGCCTCCAAACACAATTTTCCCAGATAAATGAGTAAAAATGAAATGGGCAAGTATACCAGCATTGAAGATTCCCCTGACTAGTACTTTGCCACAGGGACTGTGACTTAAGGCAATCCTAATTTGCTGTCTGTGAAATCTTTTTCAGAAGCTCTTCTTGCCAGCAGATTACTTAGCATGAGGAACATTGAAGGCAGAAGCAAAAGCAGATATTCAGAAAGAATAAAGACACTTTGCATCACAGAAAGTAAGACATTAAATAAAAGGGAAATACTAGGTAATGCAGATGTTATCAACCTCTTAAGTGCAACCACTCTTGAGCCACCCACTTTTTATTATACGCCCTTTCAAAATGCACAGTTCTCTGAGAAAAAAGGCTTTTCCCTTTCTTTCAGAAGCTATAGCCAGTACCTCTGAAAGCTTGCTGACCCACTTTACCTTCTGGTTTTAACCTTTTGCTGAGAAAACTGAGAAAAATGTCTGAACAAAGTGCAAGTAATGTAAAAATGACCCAAAACTACAAACAACTCTATCTGTAGATATCTACATTACCTGTGAGTCTCTGAAGCAGGGGTTGGTTTGCACAGTCAACACATCTAAGTGATATGCTCATACTGTACTTAATATGAAATCCAGCTCCCCCTTGTCTACTAAGGCTTTAATCCAAATTTGTGATACAGACAGACATGAAAATCTGATTCTTATGTTAAAAATCTACTTATTTACAAAGAGGTATTTTGATTATTTTTAAAACCTCTCATCTTCTTATAGTTACTTCACAGATGAGTCTTTACCTCCAGCTTCCTGCTTAACCTGCTGCTTTCAAAGGTGCTGTCCTCCTCATTAGTGGCTTCTTGGGCCTGTTTCATGTGGTGGCGCTGAAGTTTTTCATAGCTGACTTTCAATTTGTGCAGCTGCATGAGAGAAATGGAGAGAAGGGATTGCCTTTAGTGTGTAACCTCCTGTTACGATAAAGTTTCTGAATTCTTCAATGCATGTCATTTCAGCTTGAACCGCATAACTGATGGAATCCACCTTAAGATTTCTATTCCACTGTAAGAAATATTTTTCAATCTTGACAGGCTACAGCTGGACTCAACTGCCTCAAAAGTGATTGCATGGTGCATTAACAATGCAATTACTTTTGGTCAGTCAGCAAATCAGTTACATACAATGGGTCTGTCCTGGGGCTCAGTTAGTGTGTTAACCCTGTGTTCTCGGGAGTTTTTTTCTGGGTGATCTTTTTCTTCCCAACTTGCAGAGGTGGTTTGATTGGCAATACTAAGTTCTGCCATTTTTCATGGCCCTGCAATGGACTGACATCTTGTCCAGAGCAAGATATCCATACACTCTTACTCCTACCTTGTAACATATATTTCCATTACAGGCTCTTGGTTGCCCTCACCCTCAGCAGTCAAGTGGCATTTTAATAATGGATGAATGGATCTGCAGTTGATCAATTGCTTCTAAAAATGACATTATATATTCAAGACATAGCTCAGAGTGTATATAAAATTCATTTGAAAATAAAACATAAAGAGAGAAGCAATTTAGAATGCTTTTATTACAACACTGTTTTGGTGGAGATTAATCGTCTAGCATAAAAATTCAATAAGCTGTGAATGTAATATAGACTTCACTGCCAACTTGATTTACATCAAGATGAATGCCACACCCTGTAGGACTGCCTTTGTGCATTGGCAAGAACTGAAACAATATCACATGATCCTTAATACCATTGACTTAGACTGGACATAGTCAGCACATGCAACACTAACCATGCCAATCAGAGGTACATTATTTTCAGTATCTGTGTTAAAAAAGTATTTTCACTACAATTACTTAATATTTAAAGGTTTAAATCTTTAATAAAAATCTTTGAGGCAACATTGTTTCAACCTGTTGAATCTGTGACTGAAACCATATTTCCATACAAGCAGGTTTGTACTACAGCTGCCAATAACACTGGATTGGATTTCTTTTCTTAACAGGTTAGCTACACCACCTAGCGAGAAACTTAACACTTCTTCCCCTGAATGGTGCGTTAGAAAGAGGCGTTGTTCTCATGGTTGCACTGTTTAAAGGACAATCAGTGCCTAAACAAAATAGATTTTTAAGGACTGTTTGCATTAGTAACAAGAGGACAAGGGTTTCTCCATCAAGCAGCATACGTTAATATAGTGCTACAGTATGAACAAAAGAGAATAAGAAATCTTGCAAGACAGATAAACCTAAGGAACAGGTAAGATCCATCAACAGGAATTTGTTTTTTCTTAGATCAAGGTAGTGTCGGTGAGTTTAAGACAAGAAACAGAATACAATACCTCTGATGAATATTTAAGGGGAAAGCTTGATGTGAAGATCAAATTACGCCTCCAAATGCAATTCTAGAGGATGCCCTAGTGCTTCCCTACCACTTTGATGTTTACTATTGTAGTATAAACCTACAGTAGGTATTGACTGTGCCACATGAAAATCTTAAGTCAATCTCAGACATACTTCAGACTGAAGAGTGTTGAGGCGCTCCTCATATTTCTGAACCAGCTCTTTATTAGAGTTCTTCATCTCTTTGATGTGACACTGCAGTGTGGCTACCTACAACAAAGGCACAAGGGTTATTGGTGACATATTTATAAAAGTCTGGTCAACAGCGCTGCTGTAAATAAATACACAGAAAAAGGATGTTCTTAACTGTGATTCGGGAGACAATCAGGCCTTCTGCCTCAGATGTTATAAATCAGAATAATTTCCTTTCTCTAAGCTATTGTATACAGAATATAGCACACATATCCCTTTTCTTTTTGCATTTTTCTTCACGCATCATTCCTCCACATTATCTACTCACTTGTAACTACAGTTCCCCTTAGTGAACTCCTCACTTTTTATGGGGGTCTCAGTCTCCTCGACCTATGGACTAAGGGCTGGCCCTCAGGCAGGTAGATTAAGCCAAATTATACTGAATAAACATTCTCAATACATCGAATTCTTGAGCATTGTGGGTTCTGGTGAAATTGAATTTGTCAGGTGATTAAAAATAATTTAATTGTTAGATTTGATTATTTACAATTAAGTGTTTAAAAAAACTATAAGGGCTAGATTAAAGATAATTCACCATTTTGGTGTGCTTTGATCAAAGGAACATTGGGTCTTTTCTGAAGTACTGTACTGCTTCTAGTCTGTTAAATCGCCGTAGATGGAAAGCGGAAACGTCTTTATGTTGCTAAAAGCCTGGAAAACATTATCCTACAAAAATAAGATAGTTAAGAAATGAGATTACACTGAATATCTGGGACCACAGGAGGAAACCTTTAATTACTTGCAAATTTACAATTGTTAACTTTACAAGGACATAAAACAAACAATCACACAAGCCTGGTGCTGAGACATCAGCTGAGCCCACTACATCACAATGATATCTCTGATAAAACACTGCTGCCAAGTCTATAAAAGAGAATAAAAAGGATGAGAATCATGATCCTTCCTTTCCCAAGGCTATAGCTGATGTTTGTCAAGGTGGCCTTTCCTTTACTGTGTGAAATAAAAACTCTAAGACTGAAAGAGTTGCAGAGTAATTTATGGGGAACAATTCTTGCACGATAAAAGTAGAGAGGCCCTTCTGCTCAGCAGAGAAATGCCAGTCAAACCAACCACAGCAGAGGGCAGCATTGATGGATAATGCATCGATTCCCACTGCCATTTGAGAGGCCAATAAAGCCAGCTGCACCTGAGACTTAACAGCCTTCAACAGGGCTCTGCGGGATTTTGTCCATCCTTTCATCTGTGTTTCTCTGCCAACACACAGGCCAGGAGAAAAATAATCGTCTTCTTTTCTGTATATAACTGGAAAGACAGTGTGTCCTGATCTTGCAGCCCACAGCCCAAACAAGCTTTCCATTCATTCACTCAATTTATTTATTTGAAATTGTTTTTAATAAAAAATATTTGCTTACACTTATACAGCACTTTTCCGGACACTCCACTCAAAGTACTTTACATGTAATGGGGACTCCCCCCCACCAATTTCCAGCATCCACCTGGATGATGCGACAGCAGCCAGGGTGCACCAGTACACTCACCCCACATCAGTGGGGAGGAGAACAGAGTGATGAGGCCAATGCATAGATGGGGATTATTAGGAGGCCATGACTGGTAAGGGCCAATGGAAAATTTGGCCAGGATGCCGGGGTAACACCCCTACTCTTTTCAAGAAAAGATCACCTTGCGATTTTTAATGAAAACAGAGAGTCAGGACCTCAGTTTTATGTCTTATCCAAAGGACAGCATCTTTTTACAGTATAGTGTACCCTTCATTATACTGGGTCATTAGGACCCACATAGAGTGCAGGGTGAGCACCCCCTGCTGGCCCCATTAATACCTCTTCCAGCAGAAACCTTAGTTTTTCCCAGGAGGTATCCCAGCCAGGTACTGACCAGGCTCACACCAGCTTAGCTTCAGTGGGTTGCCAGTTGTGAGTTGTGAGTTGCAGGGTGATATGGCTTGTTATGGCTTTATATGGCTTTTGCTTGTTTTCAAAAAGTAGCCATTTGGTGCATTTTACATTAATAGTTATGTGTAAAAAGTTTGGGTTACCTAATACAGTATTATAGAAGCTACAGGGTCTGTAGCTGTTGGCAACTCAACACAAAGTGCCACGTAACCTCAAAGTCTGACTTGTACTTAAGCAGAGGCAATGATTGCATTGTAGAGTTTTCAATTAGTGTTGAACACTACAGTCTCTCAGAAGGAATTGTCAGACGACAAGAGCATAGAAACGGAAAGATGGATTAATCTGTTAATAGAAGTAGCTTTAATTATCTAAAACAAAGCCCTTGCTATGTTCAACATATATTAAATGTTCTGCTATGAATCACATCTGACATGTACAAGCTTTACGGCAGTGTGGCATTTTGTGATTGGGTATCTGACAACCAATGACGTTGTTGCATATGAACATAATACTGTATTAGATAACATTGCTTTTTTGATAAAAAAACGTTCTTAGTTCAGAATGTGGAATTTGCATTTTATATATTTCCCACAATTTTTCTTTAATTATTTCTAGCACTCTAAATCCTTTCCTAGATTGTTGACACGGACTTAGCTTAGTGTCATGGCAGTCAATTTAACACAAGACACGGCTTGATCCAGGATTTTACTTTTTTATTTACTTTAAGAAAATAATATGCTGTGCCGGAACCACATAATAATCAAATGAGAAAACAATAATCCATATCTTTATCCCATATTTGTGCATTTCCACTTTATTGTGAAATCAGAGATTGCATAGCGACAGGCAAAGTAAATGAATCCTTTCTCCTGCATCAAAAGCTTTCGACAGTGGAATACAAGGCAGATTTTGAGTGATTAAGTGACTTGTGTGTCCAAATATCAACGTATGAGGGGGTTCAGGTGGTGAACAAGGGCTTCTGGGATTTTACATCTCTCTGCAAGTACTTATAATCTGATTTAGATCATCAGCAGAGTTACTTTGATGTCTGCATCATATTCCCAGGTAGCTTTTCATCACAAAGCCCCTCGATTGGGTGACAGAGGACACTCTGTTCAGGGAAACAAATGAGTTCATGAAGAGCTCTGAGCAGATTTTTAATACTGGTCTATGTACCTACTGTACATATTGTAATTCTTGGGGCTTATATTATATTCTGTTTGTAAATTTAAGAAAATACATTTCTCAATTTTATTTCAAGTATAAACTGAGATAGTTGCCACATTTTCAAAGAATATAGATACAGTACTTCAAAGAATACCCTATAATGTGAATTAAGACCTAATACTAATTTAGTGATGGGTATGATTTACAATGATTAGAAAACAACAAACCTGGTTAACAATCTGAATACATTTTACTGATGTAGTAAAGTAAAAGTTAATTTGATCTCATCTCTGGTTAGGGTTAAAGCCCTGTTACTGTTGTGATAATATAACATATTTTCCCTCATTTTCTTGCAACATATTGTGGTGTGGTTCAACTATTTAACAACACTCTTTCCCCAAGACATCAACAGTGTTGATGGTGCTATTTAAATTAAGTGACACAAATAAGAAATAGAAAAATGTCTTATGAAAAAAGTGTGAATTATTAACTAAAAGCTGTATGTCTTCAACAGTTTATAAGGAACTCTTGTTATACTGTATATATAGAACCAAACAATGCAAACTATTCTTGACAACATAGTTTCAGATTTGTTCAAATATGATACAGGTGCCCCATTTTCAGCCTCAATGGTCTAGTGAAATGAATTATTGAAGAAGAAGGCAGCAGTGTTTTTAAAAGCTTCAAAGCAATGAAACAAATGCTTCTTCTGAAGGTGCTGGTGACAGCAGGCCTGGCAGGGCTCCAGTCTTTTTAGGCTGGAATCCAACAGGGATTTTAAAGGGATCTTTACAATTTCACCTTCTTAAGACCCATGGAGAGAATAATGTTAAACTAAAGTAAGTCACTGTCCAGCAAGAAGAAAAAAATGGAAGACTATGGTGTTATGCACCCCTGGAATATGAGAGACTTTCAGTCCCACTGTTACAGTACATCATAAAACAGGAGTAAACAGTCAAGGTTTTCAATCAGGTGTGAGACCGGAGTCTAAGTCTCTATCCTTAGAGATTCCAATTTCACTTCCTCCTAAATTGATCTTCCTTTTTCTTCTTTGTAAGTACTTGCTTTTTATTCATGGTGTTTCAGAGCAGCTGGTGTCAAAGGCTCCTTTGATTCAAGTTATTTTACCTTCAAAATATTTTTAGCCCTAATCAGAACTCTTATTTTTGTCTAATGAATCAAACAGAGGTGCTCCGGTCTGGCATCCCAGCAGCAGAGGAAAAGAAGAGCCTGCCACCTCCCATAGAGCTCACCTCCTGGTGCTTGTGGTCCAGAGCAGCACGGGCGTGGAGCAGCTCCTGCTCTCTGGCATCCAGGCAGGCCTGCAATGCCTGGCTATGCCTCTCCCACTCCTGCTTCCGACGGCTCACCATGATGTCGATCTGGTGCATGAGCTCCTGCAGCTCCTCCTCACAAGAGGGAAGCCTGGCGAGACAAGGTGCTGCTATCAGAATTTCTGAGCGTGCATGATACTGTGGCTCTGCTTTCGTATACACATGCATTAGCACACTACAGCGTGGCTCTGCTTTCGAATACTGAAGCATTAACACGCATCAGTGTGACTCTGCTTTCATATACGGATGCATTAGCACACAACAGTGTGACTCTGCTTTCGAATACTGAAGCATTAACATGCAGTGGTGTGGCTCTGCTTTCGTATGCCACCTCAGAGGCCACCAGCTTTTGTTTTTTCCCCAATATTTTTAAGTCAAGCTGTTTTCAAGAGACCACTAAAACATGCTACACTGCAGCCCTTGAGGATGGTAGTTACGTGCTTACTGTATGTGCGAGACCAGTGCTTCTTTTTCCTGGAGTACCCCTGTGTCTGCTGTCCAACTGGGCCCTCAATCACCAGTGCTAATTAATGCCTGTAACTGTTCATTTAGACTTTTTTTCTGCACTCAGCCCTTGTTTTTAAAAACACCCTAGTTAAAGTGTTTTATTTCCAATTACTTCAGCAAAGACTCTCTCCTTAGCTTGGCAATTTAGAATTTGCTCCCTTATTTCTGGATGAATGGCTCTTAGTAGGTGATCAATAAATGATTAAGAGACACAGGTTGGAATGACAGCTCCCATATATAGTGAGTGTTTTTGCTTCTGTTTAAGTCCAATAGGTTATATTTCAGCTCACACATCTCAGGGCAGTCCTGAAACTTGCTAATTAGCAAAGTTTTCACATGAATAACAAATCTTATAGATCTTTTTAAGAGGGGAAAGCACATTTTAAACAATGCCTCAGAAAATTAAAAATTAAAAACTATTGGTGATTAAGGGCTCAGGTGGAACAAAAATGAACAATGATAAAATAATTAACTATGACCAAATTTTGATACCTACATAAAAGTTGAAAAAGTGGAGGTTACATGTTTTTTTAATTTTTTTGTCTCTTTTGCTTTTTTTGCTTCACATAATCCCAAAGAGAGGTACAATATCTGGTATATTTATCTCTGGTAAATTTTGCTACAAAATCTCTGCTATTAAATTGCTATTGCAGTGAGCTAATTGTCTCAATTACTATTTTGAACTATTAAACTATTTTGTTCAATTGCTTTCAGGATTATTAGGTATATGCTGTGTCTGGCAGCTGCACAGACAAACATTTTACTGTTTGGCATTCTGTTAATGTTGAAGCATTCCTGAATGCAATCATAAATTACACAAGAAGTGGGAGCTCCAGACACCTCTTACGGCAGAAGGCAAGAGAACATGTTCTTGACTACAAACAGGGCAGGAAAGTGCAGAAACCATTCTGGCCACATACTGCTCTAGGTAAGAGGAAACACTGCTGAGAGTTCTGAATGCACGGAGTACAGTATATCAGTATCCAGGGGGATAAAGAAAGGGGCTTATTGACATACCCAGCATGGATCTGTTGTGGTATACCGTCTTCCAGGTGCTGCATGAGGCCAGGGAGTTGCCTAAGGTACAAATAAATACTAAATATAAATATAAAATGTGTGCTTGAAACAAATACACATCCCCCTACATCAGACAATATTATGGCTCCCTTGCTGCATTCAATAACATATTAACATACTAGATTTGTTGATGCAAAGCAAAGTGTAGCAGCATTATGTCCAGCTGTTATGGTGTGTAGGTTATGTTGAGAATCTAAGCCATGTTTGCATGAAAATCTTAGATTCTTTTGTGCATTTGAAAAGCATACACTCATACAGACCTACTGTAGAAGTCAGACCCTTCCTGCTTGTGAATCGCAGACTACAACACCCATGTTTGCTGGCTTCCATTTGGCTCAAGAAAACTGCAGAACAAACTGAAATCCTAGTCTCCTGCCTTGATTCATATGGAGTGTTGCTGCTGCTATGTGTTCTCACTATCACCTTGTGTCCTAAACTCCTAAGACAGGATCCATATTGCAGTGACTCTCACCTGCACAAACACCTTCTGATAATGGATGGGTGGTCTCTGTATCTCTCCTTTTCATCTACTGCACTGCCCTTTGTTTTGAGTGCAATGTTTGGCTTCCAGTTTCTGGATGTGCATTGTGTTATAAAACTCCTTTATGACTGAGCCTATACTTTGAGGAAAACATTATAGCAACCCATAATTGATAGTAGGTAGTAGGTAAATAACAATAACATGTCAGTTTTCCACAGAGGTGGGATTACATTTATAAACCTACATTATGACACGAAATTATCGCTAAAACGTAAATCCTACAGGTATGTCCACAGACAGACAGCAAAAAGCACATAAACCTCTTCCTAGTAAAAAGATGCAATCGAGGACATCTATCATCCTATTAACAACACCAGTTTCTACTTTTTTGTACTTATTCAAGAGGAAGGGGAGAAGAGTTATATGTTACTATAGTGCTCCACATCTAAATTGCTTGACTAGTGACTAAACCACCTCTACTGTTTTGGTTAAACAGTACTTAATGTCACGCCCTCTGCAGCCAGAGGGCGCTCCTTCTCTGTCCTGTCCCTAGTTTCTGGTCTGCTATCCTTCCTGTCCCTCTCTTTCCCTTGGGCTATATATTTCCGGGTCTTGCACTCTGTCCTCGCTCAGCATTGATGTTCGGATGTCCTGAGACCCGCCTAGCACCAGGGCGCCCCATGTCCGCTCCCTGAGGGCATAGGTTTCTATACGGCATTCCTGAACTCTTTGCACTAATGAGCCCGGGCCTTTTTCCCGTCTCGCCGCTACGCATATGGGTCTTTTTCCGCTCTCCTGCTCCCCACGGTTAGTCCCTTTGGACGTCCGTGACACTTAAGCTGCTTTTATTTTCACGATGTCCTTAAAAAACTGAGTGTGTTGTTCTCAGGCTACCAGCGGTAAAGGCTATGGTCTTGGGGCTGCTTTGAAGATGGGTATTGTACTTCCAGCTGCTGACAATGAACTAACGAGATCTTTTCTGAGTCCTGTCATTTGTAGATAAGCTCAAATATGAAAAGGAGCTATGCTTAAGGGAAATGAACAGTATGAATTGTGGTACTTTGTGTGAAGTCCTGAATCAATGGAGAATCTATCTATCTATTGATGGGCACATTTTACTGAAAGAATTTCAGCTCAGGCTGACTTTGGTGTGGTGTACAAAATGGGAAATGTTAGAATCTCCAATACAATGTGGGACTTTTAAACTTAGATTTCTAGTGAATTTCCTTTTGGAAAAGATTTTTGTTTTTGAAGTACCTTTGTAATATCCTAGCAATTAAACCAATCCATCTAAAAGCCTTGAAAAGCCGAATAGACCTTCTCTTTGTCAGACGAATAATGAATGATCTTACACTTTCTTAAAAAAATTAATACATCTTTGTCAGTCACATTTATTATACCTCTTCAACACACCAGGAATTTATCAGTCAAGAACATCTTGATGCACAATGACATTTTGAGGAAAACACTGTCTTGCATTCTTAATCAGGGTCAAAATTTTAGCAAAAGCTTGAAAGAAAAAAGGAATCTCAAAGAAAAAAGGAATATGAAACTTTAAATATATTCTCATCACATCAAAACTGCACGTAAGGTTTTGTGTCAGAAAAAATAGCCAAATATCACTTCGATAACACAGGTTAGAATTTAACCAGGCCTACAACAGCATTTGTTCATACAGCAGCTAAAGTACAGTACATCATTTAACGTTGATGTTTTTTGTTTTTTCAAACTAGGATTTTGATTTAAATGATAGGGAACAATGACTACAAAATATATCTTCCGAAATTTAACAGGACTGTAAAGCAAGCCTATTTGCTGTACAGTGTGTTGCTTGTAAAATTATTCATCCAGCCATTTTCTAACCGCTTTTTCCAATTCCGGGTCTTGCGGGATCCAGTGTCTATCCCGGCAGTGCCGGGCGCAAGGCAGGGTACAGCCTGAACTGGAGGCAGTGTAAAAACAATTTTTGATATTCAAGCTCATGAATAGAGTTTACACTGCAACTCTAGAAGACGCATATAGAAAATTAATCTGTTTCTGACTTCACATCACCCATGCTTTGTGCTATTATCACGTCAACAGCTTTAATTTGTATGATAACATTGTTACAAGTGTTACTATAAACACACAACGAGTTTAACATACAAGGGAAACAATTCTAAATACGATGTGTTATGAATGCCATTGCAAAAAAGTGTACACAGTTACACATATATACGTTAAATTGTACTAGGTGTGACTAGAAAGAAAAATACAATTAAGTCAGTAAAAAAAATAAAATTTAATGTTTAGGCACATTATTTATGTAATTAAACAAATCATTTTTTTTTCACTTACCAAACCAGTCTTTTGCAGATTAACCGGAGACCAATAATTTACTTATTAAGAAATACACTTCCTAAATATTAATTTAAGTATTAATTGAGCACCACATGATTAACAAATTAAGAGATTAATTTAGGATATCTTGTTGAAAAACTGTTCTCTTCAGAACTGTGGAATCGCGGTGAAGTTGTAACTGTAGTGCTGATTAAATCAGGTATTTGTTAAGTCACTGACACTTAAATATGTCACTTTCGCGCTGTTGGCACGTATATTGGCGCTTCGCCTTTAGAAGGAAAGCCATAAGTAACAGTAGGAGTAGGAGACGGCCACAAGAGGGCGCGACACACTAAAATAAGCAGAATGGAAGAAATTTTTATTTCCACGTTTTGCATAATTTCCAAATTTCACATAATATTAATTCTCATGAGGCACAGCTGAAACTTGAAAGTATGTGGGATTGAATTTTGTAGTTATTAAAGATGTATACACTAAATTTTTGCAATTGAATATTCTTCTAAAGCATTGTACAATTTTCAGAACCTTTATTTTGCACTTGGGATAGTCGTATTTTAACAGTTTCCTTAGAAAAAAGTTAAATTTAATTTTAATTTTATTTATACGTCTGTGTTGTAGATTACCGTTGTGTTTGTGTTAACACTTTAATCTGCTAGGTCTGCAGCGCACATTTGGTATGTCTGAGTCATAGTTAATCAAATGAAAAGTGAAACCAGAGAGATGGTTATGCCGTTTTATCGGTGCAAGATCGTATAGCCTAATAGATTAACAAAGAGTCAAAACATTTATCTACAACAAACCATTTTCGGCGAATAGGGGATGAACAGTGCAGTGAGCAGTCTCCAATAAAGAATTTTAAATGGCTTTAATTAAGTCTGTGTAATTGGTAAGTGAGATTTTCTTTTTAGTGCATCTGTTAGTACAGATACAAAGTTTAAATACTAACTTTTAGAATATACACATTAAAACGCACTAGATTTTCGAGACTACGCTATCTCCATCTAGTGTTGCATTTGATTATGGATTCTTTCAGTACCAATGTTAAATTCTGCCTTCACGAGTGCTGTACGTTAAATTTACACTATTTACAGTATAGTAGCTAAAAGTAAACTAATATCTTGGTGGCTTTAGTATGGTATATAAAAGAGAAGAATGTAGTATAGCTATGCTCCCAAGACCACTATATACAGTAGGTTTACATACTGTGCAACTCTTGTAATTCAATTCATGCAGTATGTAAATCCAAGCTAATATTGTAGTTCTGGCCTGCACGCCAAACATTTTCAATATAGTTACATAATTTGTTTCCAGATTGTTTCCAAACTATAAAGTTCTGTAATAAGAAAAACAATGGGGCTCATAAACGTTCTCATATTCATTGCGCGGTTAACCAGCAATTGCATGAAGAGAAGGTGAAAAAATGTAGAACTGGTGTTAAATTACTAAATGATTTTTTGATCCAGGAAGACATTCGAAGAGAATTCTGTACATGTCCCAAATGTCATGAGGTCGCCAAAGTCGAAACTCAATTATGTACCTGCTGTCTTGTCAGGTTTAAGCAAGCTTTTAAATCTACTTTGCGTGTTCCGTGCGTGTTTAAATGTAATTTAAATGTAAATGGAATTTGTGTTTTCCCCATACTACTTAATTTGTCTTTCAATTATTTTTTTCTCTTAATGCACCCTTTACCGAACTAACGTGTATCCTCATCCAGCGCTTCTGCAC